GGTAAAGAACTTCGCTCGCTATCAAGAATAGTCGCTGTTTGCTTTAACTTCCAAGAATTATACTGCTGTGACTAGATTTGCCACGGACCCACTCGACTGTCAGTCCGTGCAGTACTCAGCCCTTCCCCAATGCGAATGAAGTGCTCCTCAATCGGCGAAAGCCCTAGCTGTGCTTGCTCGTCCGGCACAGATACCTCGGTGTCCTTGAATATCCTGGATATAGTTGGGCAAATAGATCCGTATGTAGGTAGAATGCCGTTGACCAGGTAGTCGTGGATATGTTGCAATGTGCATGGCGAGTTTGCAGAGAGGCTGCAATGCTATAACGTGTCGTCAGCCTATTACCAGGATATCTGCAATGATGAAATACCCCAATTGAGTTCTGGATGAGAAGTATTGCGTTGCTGAAGCCTTCCGCCATTATTCTAGCACTGGGACAGCTAGTTGAGCGAATAACAGCACTAATGGAGGCCGACATACGATGCAAGCGGGGTGACGGGGTCTTGGAATGATTTTTGAGCATTGACTATCCCAATGACCTTGTGAAGAGAAATACCTGCGGTGTTGCCTATCACCAAAATAGGGAAGTTAGTATTCCCTTCAAACGGACCGTGAAATTTTCCCTTCTCTAATTCCGGCCAGTGACTAATTGGTGTTAGCGAAGGGTAATGTAAGAGAAGCCAACGTGCGAGCAGACAGTAATCTTAGCAAAGAGCGAGCCGAGAGTATAGGACTTGGCCTGGCGCTCATAGTACTCTTGGTGGAACTCGAAATCACTTGGTATCCGTATCCAATCGTTGCACATAACCACTGGTGCGCCATCGAAAACATCCTTTTCGCCTAGCCCCGTATTGGAGCATGGACACTGAAAATCCGGCTTTCTGATGAAGTTATACATCAGCTCTCCAGATCCCAGCGAGAGCTGCTCAAGTGCGGTGGCGAAAGGTTGAAAACTGTCGTATGGACGATAGACAGCATCAAACAATGCTCTGCGAACGGTAGCGTAGTCGACAATGGAGTATCCATCGTCCGTGAACACAGGTACGGGTCGTGCGCGAATTTTCGACATGATGTTGGTCATATTGGCGGACACGGCATCGGGACTGTCTCCCCATAACGCGCAGAGGTCAGGACCGGCAGCGTAGCATTCGTCAAAGAAGGCTTGAATAACCTTGTCGGAGTCCCGAAGGCTGTCCTCCAAAATACCGTTGTACCATGTATTGGAGTCTAGCACACCGTCAATGATCAGTCTGTTGACTTTGTCCTGGAAGATGGTGAGTCAGTGCGGCAGCATAGAATTCCTAGGGCTCAAACGTACGGGGAACATGGCAGCGAATGTAGCACCCAGTGCCGAGCCGTATGAGAGGCCCCAATAATTCAATTTCTCGAAACCAGCTGCTTGCACGATAGTCAGCATGTCCCGAGCGGTATTCTCTGTGTTGATGTGCGGGAGAGCAGTCTTGTTTTGCCCTGCTAGTCGGCCAAGGATTACAGATTCAGCATACCCCATGGCAAAGCCGTCCGGCCGGAAGTCATATTCTTCGATTCTGCTATTTTCCCACAGTGCTCGTTCTTCTTCGCGCTTGAAGAGGTTCACGCGTGTTGACCGTGCGATGCCCCGGGGGTCAAAACCAACGATGTCGAAACGATTATCAACGAGCTCAGAAAACATGGGGCCCTGGTGCTGGGCCAAGTTGACGCCGCTGGCGCCTGGACCTCCAGGATTGAGAAGGAGCGGTCCTTTGTAGAGGCTACTGTCGTTTCGGTATTGGGACGGGTACTGAAGGAGTGCGAGCACGAGCATTGCTCCAGATGGATCAGAGTAATTCAGAGGAACCTGGGATACATAAGCAGAGTCCGGCCAAGACAGAGAATTTCCAACCATGAGACGGGCGCACTCGAACGAGTCGTAGCACGGCGTCCAGTCAAGGATCTCTTTTGCAGGAAGCTAACGAGATGAGCAATGATTGTACAGGTGTAGGGGTGTGCATACGTTTTCCCACCAAGAAGGTTCACAATCATTCGAGTAGATGTCAGGCTGCGAAATGGAGGCTTGATTTAGTCTCTCCAAGCGAATGAGAAACTCCCAAGGCCTGAGGAGGAGAGCAGCAGAAACAATGAAAAAAGAGGACAAGAAAAGTACTCGTTTGAGAGCGCCCATTGTACCAGATGGTGGTAAGTAGCTATGTAGCCATGCGCAACATTCGGAACCGCTCTTCAGGGACGGAGAGCCGGAGTGGACATACATAAGTGAATGACCTCGCATTGTTGACTGAAGACGACGTGATTTACCTCGAGCTAACTCGAAGTAAAGAGCAGCGTAAATCCCAGCATTATTGCGAGCGCTGTCGGCAATTGCCGCCCCAAGCATTCCCAATCTCCTACGATCATGAACGACGCGACTGGACGCGTCGGACTTTCTCCCACGGAACAACTCGAAGACAGGCGCAAGGCTAGAGAGTCAAAAGCAAAGAGTAATCGCGACGAGGCCGAGAAAATTAAAACAGAGGTAATTTCTCCGTATCCAAGCTGAAGCCATGGTCTAAGTTGCATTTGTAGGGCAATGCTCTGTTTAGAAAGGGCCTGTATCCTTCAGCAGTCGCCAAATACGAAGAGGCGTTGGAAGTCGGAGGAACCAATGCGCTTATCCTGAACAACCTGGCTGCGGCGTTCTTGCAGATGCAATGGTAGGCCGCCCTCGTTCTACCGCGTTCTGTAGCTTACCTTGGACGCGCCAGCTATGATGAAGCAGAGGAATACGCAACTCGAGCACTTGAACACGATCCTTCGCTTGTGAAGGCGCGTTATCGACGCGGAAAAGCAAGATATTCTTTAAAGCGCTTCAGAGGTGCAACTCTTGGTCCGTCGTAATTGTTCGGCGTTTTGTACATCGAATCTCACATCTGTGTAGATTTCGAAGCCGTTTCGAAAGCAAATCCCGACGAGCCTGATTTCCAAAGCACGGCCAAGCAAGCGAAAGAGGCCAGCAGTCGGGGCAAGAGCACCGAGTCCGATGCCGAATACGACTCTGCGGACTATAGCGCGCCTTGCGTCAACCAAACCCCCTACACGTCCGAAGTCGACTCTGACTCTGAGGAAGCCCAGACCGTTGGCGACGGTACCCCGTGCTACGCGTACAACCATGACGGGTGTGATATGGAATCGGACTGTCTCAATTCGCATGCCCCAGACGAAAAGAGCGTCCGCGACAGCATGTAAGGGCTTGCCTATTTGTTTCCATCACCAACTAACGCTTCAGTGCACGGAATGTCTGCATCCCATACCTCCTTGGACAATGTGAGGTGCAGAAATGCGCGTACGCACATGATAAGACGTACCTTCCACCGGGTGGATGGTGGGGCAACACCGAACTTATCGAAGCCGTAGCCTCGAAGAAGGATCACCCTCTCATTTCCCATCTGTTCTCCTCGCCCTTTTCGCGGTACAACATCCCTGGCATTCCGTTCAAACACTCGACACTTTCCGGATGCAAAGCACCTGCAAAGCCGTTCTTCCTGGTCATTTCTCTCGAGTTTGAAGCCATTGTTGCGTCCATCCACAACGACCTCTTCTTGTCTTTGGAAAAGAAAGCACTCGTCAAATGGGCAAAGACAGTTACCTCGGCGCTAGCCTTGATTACCTCACCAAATGTATTGGGTGTCCTTGTCGTCGATGGAGGCGCCGCGAGATCCAAAAACAAGCGGGTAGCCCGTCAGCTAGTCGACTACACCAAGCGCGGTGGGCGCGTTATCATCGGCGGGCAGTTCAGCAACAACTCCAGCGAGACCTCCATGTCTTCGTTCTTCTCGCAGTGGGGCGTATCGTGGAAAATGGGCGACTACCATCGCACCACCGTTGAGAAGAAGGACGCGCATCCGACGGTCAAGGCCAACCCTATCCTACCCAAGGAAATCAGCATGAAAGCGGTCAACCTGTCGGGTGTGGACGCGTCTGCTGCGATGTACCTTCCCTCTTCGGAGTCGCATCTCGAGTCGCGGGTATTCCCAAACTTACCTATCCAGAATCTCCAAGAGGGACCTGTCGTTCTTGCACGAGTAGGGGAAGGACACTTGGGATACGTTGGCGATGTCAATGGAGAGGTCCTCGTCACACCCGTCGTTTTGGCAATGCTGGACTACGACAGGCTCACCGCCACATATGTTCCCGAACCCGCGGCACCAGCAGAGGGGTTTATCCTCCTGCTGTCACTCGAAAACCTGTCATTCTTCGACGAGATGCACACCCATCTTCTCAGCGCGCTTCGGTCCAAAACGACTGTCATGCAGGCAACGTCCAGCAAGGATGCCCTTCGGCTACTAGCGTCTCCAGCACTTCAAGGCGTGTTGTGTGTCGACCCAGGCGTGACGGACCGAAAACACAAGCAAGTTGCAGACGCTCTGAAGGCGTACGTCTCGCAGCACGGCGGCACCGTTCTTTTTGCTGGGCTCTTCAGCTCGTTCATCACCCCACCAGACCTGAAGAAGTTCTTCAGTTCAGTATGGGGACTGCGCTGGGAAATGGGCCCGTACAACAGGAGGGTATTTGCGCGCAGGGATGCTGAGCTGCTTGCGGCAGACCAGTACAGTATGAAGGCAGCGTCTCTGAAGGGTATCGAGGATGGACATGCGGTGTACAGGGATCCATACAGCCACGAAGTTGAAGCGCCTGTGGTACGCGCCAAGGTTGGAAATGGGTATGTTGCATATGTGGGAGACGTGAATGCGGAAGAAGAGTCAACGGAAGTCGTATTAGGCTTGCTGAAATTGTGATGTTTCATTGTCAAAATATGGATTGTAATCATTGTATGTATGTACCACACATGTAACACTGAACTTTTAGATTCAGACTGTGTACGGATGCTTCACGTTCCAATGCAACTGGGCTATTGCTCTTTTCCAAAGTCCCTCCTACGCGGTAGTGTATGACTGCCATGGATTGGCTGGCCGCTGCAGATGCCAAAAAATGCACAAATGCGACGAAGCTAAGCAGCGGACAATAAAAGGCCCTGCCAGGGATCGAACCTGGGTCACGGGAATCAGAATCCCGGGTGATAGCCACTACACTACAGAGCCGTGTGAACACATTGGTGCACAAATTGTCGGAGCCGGCCCGGCTGTGATCGTCAGGCTGGACTGTGAACACATATCATATTGGCTACTCTTTCTTGTAGCAGTACTACGATGACCGCTGGACGCGAAGACGATGACGTGGAGCTGGCCCCGCTGTCCAAAAATGCTGAAACCTACGACAACGACGATGACAATGGCGTAGATAGCGACGCGGACGCGCAGGCATTGCTAGGCGCGCATGGTAGTAGCGACGGGCAGCGCGCGAAATCCTGGTACGGAGAACCAGATACTGCGGGACTATGGCCACAAGTGAAGGGAATAGTAACGGAGGTGCGTTTCAGTCTCTTGAAGGATTCTCAGGCAATCTAACGCGGCATCCAGAGTGCACCTACCCTACTATTCTCCACCATAGGATTAATGCTTTCCGGAGAGTTACTGGACCATGTTACAGTGTGTAAACATATCCCCTGCTGATATCATGCACTTGCTCAATACGTGTGATGCAGCATTGGAGAGCAATGGTCCAGGTTGACCAGCTCATTATGATCATCCCAGTTGTGCTCAACCTCAAAGGCAACCTGGAAATGAACCTATCCGCCCGTTTGGGCACCGCCGCCAACATGGGCCACTTGGACGACCCATCTACTCGTCGGCAAATCATCCTTGGCAATCTTTCCCTCCTCCAGGTGCAGGCCACCGTGGTCTCGTTCATTGCGGCCTGTGTCTCCCTAGTCCTCGGGCTCATTGTGCCAAGAAACTCGGAGGCCCCGCCAACAGAAGCACGATCTCTCTGGAGCAGACGACCGCGACCGATATTGCCACCCGTCAGGGAGCGCAAGTCTGGTATCGCAGAGTATGTTGCCAGCATATAGCATGGGAAGTTGGCTCATGTTTCTTCCCAGATTCGTGATGGTCGCATCGTCCGCCATGTCCGCCGCATGTCTCTCAAGCATTATCCTTGGCTCCTTCATGTGCGGCCTCATTGTACTCTGTAGACGACTTGGTCGTGACCCAGGTTCGTCAGTTACAACGCAGAGAAACGGATATTAAGCTTCTACAAGATAATATTGCACCTCCCATCGCCGCTTGTCTTGGCGACCTTGTTACGCTCGTTCTCCTCGGCGCAGTCTCCATGGTCCTCATTCCTTTCCTCCATACACCAATGCCTGCCATAGTCATGCTCATCCTGGTGCTTTCCGCTGTGGCATGTGGATTTTCGTTGAGACGGAATACTCATGTCCGCGACCTCATTTGGCAAGGCTGGTCTCCCTTGTTTGGTGCGATGGTCATCAGCAGTGCAACAGGCATCATCCTCGACCTCTTTGTCAGTCGCTACGAAGACTTTGCTCTCCTTGCCGTCATCATAAGTGGCCTCCCTGGCGGTGTGGGCTCCATCTTTATATCCCGCCTCTCTACTGCATTACATGCCGCTACAACATCGATGCGCGGAGACACACACAAAGGGCCCAGCAACAAGGTGGTAATGACCACCCTTCTCCTCATCACAGTTCCCGTAGAGGTCATTTTTCTCGCCATGTTATATGGCTTTGGATGGATCGACCTTCCCATCATATTCACAGTATTCTCCGTCGGCTTCTTCTGCGTTGCGGTAAGCAATCCCAGCTAACCTTCTCCCGTACGCTAACATTGCATCAAGGTGTTCACATCGCTTATCACGGGCAAATGGCTCGTCAACTTGCTATGGTGGCGAGACCTCGATCCGGACATGTATGCGCTGCCTCTGCACTCGGCGGGGATGGATTTAATAGGGCAGCTGCTGCTGGTGCTTTGCTTTGAGATCGTGTCGCTTATGGGTGTGACGGTGGCTGTACGAGCAAAACACAAAAGATAAAGCGCGTCAATAGCTTGGCCAGTACATTATATACTGACACTAATGGGGAGATAATAATCCCTCATCATACCCCAAGTCAAGAGTGCGTTGACTGAGATGCTCGCTACCATGTTGGTGCTTTCTAGGCGTGTGCTGCTCATGATACAATGTTGGTAACGAGCACAAACCAATTCAAGGCTCTGTAGTGTAGTGGCTATCACCCGGGATTCTGATTCCCGTGACCCAGGTTCGATCCCTGGCAGGGCCTACTAGTGTGTATCGTATTTAGGATCTAAGCTTTGTCGCGCTTGTCCAATTTTTGGCATTTGCAGCTACGCCCTCAGTGCTCACTTCTCACCCACTCTTACAAGTTACCTAGGGTGGCGGACCTATGCTCCCCGGGGGGAACAGTACCGGTACCGTACCTATGCCCAATTTAGGGGGGGTGTACCGTACCGTACTGTACCGTACTGTACCGGCACGTGATGGGAACATGTGACCTGCGCCACACCCCGCGTTTTGCTTGTTTTTTGCGCTGTTTCCCGGGATTTCTTGTTTTTGCGTGCATATTACACTACCAAAGGTATAATAGGACATAGTTCAACGCTGATGGGCCCCATAATCGCAGGATTTGGCCTCACAATGGCTCTGGATCTAGACACCTTTTGGAGCAGCCTCACAATGGCCCAATGCCTTTAAAATTGCTTCAAAAGGTCTTCAATAGCACTTTTAAGCCACGTGCCAAAGTTATAGCCCTTGGAAACCCCAATAAGAGCCATGCCACTCCCCCCAATGTCGTTGGGTGCCCGCCGATCATGCCGCCGCCCGCCCCGCGCCGTGATCCGAAGTCCGCACGTGATAGGGTCACGTGGATTCATCATGTGATAGGTACCGTACCTACCCTCCCGGCGGGGGGTGTACAGTACATGGTACAGTACGGTACAGTACCGGTACTTATGCTCGGTACCCATGTTTTGGGGGTTAGGTCCGCCACCCTAAAGTTACCAGCGCAAATCGCGTGAACTTTAGCTCAGAGCTGATAGTTGTATTTGCAAAGCCTGTAGTATCATACACTGCTTGTAATATTCGTGTTAAGCAGGATCGAGTCCTGGGGCTACGTATTTTCCGCCACCACCTCCAAAGACATCCTGCACAAAGTATTTGAGCCTCTTCCTAGCGCCAGAGAATTCATTACTACGCACCTTGACCATGCCACTTGTGATCATCTTCAGCGCCGCTCTGCTTTCCCACAGCGGATATAACACAACTGTGAACGCAGAGAGGAACGTCCATATTATCCCAATCACCACCCAGGCGGTGAATCCTCCCACCCCATAGATCGTCTGGGCAAAAAACAGTGGCAGAGGGATGAGAATGATCATGATGACCAGCAACGCCAGAGACGCGCATGCGGCGAACCTGAACGCTTTCTGTAAGCCTTCGGGGTCTAAGTCTTCCTTGAGTGTTGCCCGGAGGTCGGGCTCGACAGCGAGCATTTGCATGGAGGCGTCCTTCTTCTCCCTGAAGTCAGCGTCCTCTGGTGCATCGAGAATGGCAGGACGATTCAGCGCACGCGTCGCCTCGAAGTCAAAGTTCTCTGGCCACTGTACGGTATTCAGCGTGAATCGCGGAAGAGGTCGATAGGATGCTCACGATGTAGGATGTAACAACTGAAATGATCGCCCCGACACCAATCGAGGCGAGGTTACCCGCAAGCATTGGGTAGTCCCCACCACTCGTCTATACGATAATTAAGATGATAAGACCGTGGCATGATTGAAAACCTACCACGACGTTGATAACTCCATCGTTCAAGGTTGAGGTCGTCACAAGCCAAGCGATAACGCCTGCGGCAAAGCCGATGATGGCGCCAGAAATGCATCCCCACTTGTTCGCCTTGCTCCAGGTTATGCACAATGCGATGGGCGCGACACCGGATCCAAGAATGACACCCATGAAGGTGTAGAGCCAGCCCATCGACACGCCGATATAGTAGAAGATAAGTCCCGCGAGGCCCATGATGATTGCGTACGCCGCCACCATGATATGGCCCATGTTTAACACTTGAGACTCAGTAGCATTTGGGTTGATGTAACGCTGAGATATGTCTATCAGATCCTTGACTATGAACGTCGAAGAATTGCCTCACCTTATAAACGTCGTAAGTAACCAGTGAGGAGACCGCGATGAGTTCGGCCGAAGTCGCAGAAGTAACCGCGAGGAAGAGAAGGACGAGGAGGGCAGCAGCACCCGATTTTCCTAGAAGTGCAGACGCTGCTGCGGCTGCAGGTAAGCCAGCAGATACATCGGCTGGCGTAAGCTTGGCCATGTCAGGGTCTCCCGTGAGTGCAACTGCAGCCAATCCAAGAGTGGTCGCCAGAGTGAACGGAATAGCGAACCTAAAAGGTAAGGTCAGTGAAGGTGTAGGCATAGCATGACAAGTATGATTCGACGTACCAAGCGATTCCACCAAGAAGATAGGCTTTCACGGTGCTCGCCGGACGACTGGCAATAGCGCGCTGCCAGTAGGCTTGGTCCTGGAAGACGGTGGCGAAGTTTCCGATAATGTTGATGACACCAAAGATCAGTCCGTTCTTCGATCTCATTGTGAGATATTGTCCGTGGGCATTCCCGTCGACTGGGTTGGCTTCGGCGGCTGCAACGAGGAGTTCATGCATGCGTGTGGGCGACCCAATCTTGTCGCTTGTAGCGTATACGGTGAAGACGAACGTGAGGATGATGGCGAATAGCACGGTGGTATGTGTGTAGTCGCAAAGAAGAGTGGAACGCATGCCGCCCACCACCACGTACAAAGCAACCCCAGCGGGGATGAGGAAGCACGCAGCGAGGGTGTTCATTCCGGTAAGATCTGTGACAGTCGCACTTCCTCCCAGGATAAGCATAGAGCTGACAATGAGATTGGTCGCTAGCCTGTGTGAGTCGTCAACTAACCAGCTTTGGGAACTTTCATCGATATACCCAAAGAACATGAAGACCAAGTGTGCTACTGTTCCCCAACGAGCGCCAATGATCTCTAGCCATGTATGTGCGAACGGCGCATTAAGCTTGAGCTTCGCGGCAAGCATGGCGAAGAGCAAAACCTGGACCGTCGCGCCAGCTCCATACCACCATGGTCCACTGATGCCGTATTTGTAGGCCACAGCACTACTCT